TCTATATCAAATCTTGAATATTTGTTTGAATAATTTTTTTGAATAATTTACAAGGATGTGTGAGTAATTATTATTACTAACGAAGTAACGCATCCTTGTAAATGTTAATTTCTGCACATATTTATAAATTTAACTTTTCAAACGTAATTTACAAAGACTAATATTTTAAATTGTACAACCATTATATGATTATTATAAACTATAATATTTGTGGATAATAAGTATTATGGGATACCTTTATTCAACATAAATACCTACATGTTAATCGACCATATTATCCATTTTCATTGATGGCATTTTATACAGTTGAACTTGGGAATAAAATATTAAATTTGTATAAGTTATAACATTAGATATATTATAATACAATCCGCTCGAAATAGTGTTTTTATCATTTGATTGTTTTCTAAGAGTTTTTTACTAATAATTCAATAATAATATGAAGTATTTTCTGATAACTAACACTCGTATATATTATTTTATTTAAATTGTTACTTACTAATTATTTTGCCTAATCAATGTATATACCTACTGATTGCACTTGCATTATATTATTTTAATAATTAATCGATAATTTTAAATGTTTAATAATCACCAAAAACTTGCAGCGTACCTAACGAAAATATTATTTATTGAAAAATATATTTTAAATATTGTTTGTATACCTATATCGTTTGCTATTTACATTTTTTTTTGTCATTCTCAGTTCAGCATTAACATATAGAAGATATTTCAGTAGGTATCTATACTTTACTAAGTACTTACTCTATGACATTGACTTTACTTGACAAGATTATTTAGTATAGGTATAATGTTTTTTCTTCATACAATTAATTAAACAACAATCTGAAGTATAATATTATGATATTATACAGGTTATTGGCTAATACCAATACAAATTGTTCACAATTTTGAAAAAACTGCACGTCGCTTTTTTATAACAATTTATTTAAAAAAAAAGTTATTGAATAATCATAAGTTGTTTTGTTTGAAAAATTATTAATTTTGTAACACGTTAACCAAAATGATTACTAAAATAGATTCTCAGAGAAACGATAAATGTATTGGTTTTACGATGATGAGTCCATAAAATCAATTTTTGTTTATTTGTTTCAATTCTAAAATAAATAACCGTAGGTACCGTAGAGACTTGAAATGTTCATTAAATATACGATTTATTAGACACGAAATCATTTTGAAAATATTTGTACTCCAAGGCCTATAGGAAAAAGTTATGAATCAAGTGATTTAGATCAATTTGAATAAAGTTTTATTTTGAATGAAATTACAGGTATAGGATTTTTGCATTGTCATGCATATATTTTATCTCATCAAAATCCACTCATTTTTTGTATTATTAGTTATTACATGTATTATGTAGGTGACTTTTATATTTTGTAGTTTGTGTTACATTATCAATGTTGTTGGACTTGGAACTAAGTTTATATTAATTATTAATATACCAATAAATTATAATATTTATCTAATACTGTGTAATAGAGATAACGAAGAAGTGACCGATGGACGGGCGCTATAGGTTAATTTTAGATTCTGTGAGTAGCAATGAATGTTAGTACTTATTGATTTTACAATAAGTGTAAAAAAAATGTCTTGGTCATTAACTTTGATAGAGGTGTCTGGCTATGATCTACTTGGTATACTTTTAGGTCAAAATTGAAGACTCTCAGTACTTTTTTAAATAATCGGAAAAAAAAACAAAAAACGAATACGAACATTTGTTAAAATTTAATATAATCATTAAGATAATTGAAAAAAAAAGTTAGACCGTTTGATTAGATCAATGTATTAAATTATATTCCTTCGGTAATCTTAGAAAATATTACAATATTACTATAGACTATGTAATGTTTAAATAAAACGTTACTGATTTCCAGTTGTTATATTATGATGAACTATAGTGGTGATTATATTATAATGTATGCACCGACTCCAAAAACACTGGCGGATATTTTTATATTATTTTGTTTGTAAGGTGTCTCTTAGCTAATTTACTTTTAGCCTTTTAGTGGGATTTACTGGTATATAGTTAAGGAGGAGATTAGGAAGATATAAGAGGATTTTTGTGGTTAGTAAGTTTGTTGTGGAATCTCTTATTAAGTTCAAATTGTTCGGGTAGTTATAAGCGTTAGGTATTTTAATTGAACCAATTAAAACTACATTTTAACTTCTTACCTATTTTATAAACCTAATATAATACTAAACAGCTGGTAGGTTTACTATTTGTAGCTGCTAGCCGTGTGAAATCACTTAGGTACCTATATTATGTACTGCTAGAATATCGCATATAGCTTTATAACGACCTAAATCATAACTCGTATAAATATTTAAATTTTAAATATATTATAAAATACACGCAACAGTCAACAACTACCTGTATATATATACGCTTAAATAACCGTCATGGTTAGAGGTCGAAGAGTCCTATCAATGGATAGCTCCCTCCCTAATGAAATATTAAAAAAAAAAAAATGTTATAATTTCGCGTACAAAATATGTAATCGTAATATTATACTTGCTTATTGTGTTCGTAATACAGTTTATAAGTGTTTCAAATAGAAAAAAAATAAAAATAACCGTCAGTTAATATTGTAGTCTAGAGTACCTATATTATACGTGTACAATATTACAATGTTAAGGTGCGACGTGTGATTTTGGCCGAGCCTTTACCCCGCGCGTCCACCATGCCATACTTGCCTAGGCAGGTACTTACCCGCAATGTCAAATAAATTATCATTTATCGTTATTATAATATTATTGTAATATTGTTATCATCGTCGTCGTATCGATTTTATTCGGCTTTTAACACGTCTTCGCGGTCGTCGCCGTATAATTTTATATCGCTGCACAATACGATTACAATTATTTATTAATTATTATTACTACGTACGTAGTAATGATATTTAAAAATTTTAACGCGTTTGTTCGCGAGCCCGGCGGCCGTGTTAATTTGAAAGAAAAAAAAACACTTCGAGTCTCGGCAAAGGCCAAACGGGTCACAATTCACTCGGTCGTCGGTTTGTTCGCCGAGTTGAATATTATAATAATATGTTATCTGACCACGTTATAACATTATACAATACACGTAAACATCCGTTCTCGGTGCACTGCCGTCCGTGTGCCTATTTAATATCACCTATGAGTGTAATGTAATCATAGTTCATAACATTACAATGTATACGAATAAGTTTATATATATAACTGCATTAGGTATTCCATACAACTATAATATATATGTTTAGTAATCATTTACTCCGATTACCTACGGTGATAACTAATGATAACGTCTACACCGTGTCATGTTGCTTTTCGTATACACAGGTACAACATTCATTAGGTATTTAGGTAGGTAACACACTGTTGGTAACACGTTAGAATATTGTACAAGTTAAATATATTATAATATTCAACTCTACGCCACACGGTATAGTGGAAATCTGGCTTAATTAATATGGTCGCGATCCAATACTGTTGTACACATATTATCTACTGAGTTTAATGGATGTTTGAAAGCAACAAAGAGTCGGACTCGATTGTATATAGATTTAACGCAATTAAACATTTTATTTATTTCAGTTAAATAAATGTTATGTTATATTATTATTCATTTAAAGTCATTTCTAGTGCAAATAATAATACATATTTAATCTTTATAAGGTTTTTTTTTATTGGTCCTTTTCTTTGTAAATCAGAACATTTCATAAAAATGTCAATTTTATTAATGCTAGTTTAAATGTTTTAATGTGCATAATTATTAATCTGTTACGTGATCTGAAACAAGCAACAGAAACATCATTCAAAACTCATTAAAAATATAAATAAATAATTATTTAATTTTGTAAATAAACATATATTATACATTTTATTGAAAATACATATTATTATAGACATATTTGTGTAGGTACCTATGTATAATATGGTACTTGATATATTATATCAAATAAAGTTAGTTTTTATATTTTATAATAATCATATTCAAATATTTGTATTATAAAAAATTACTAGAAAAGTACTTTTCCCAATGTCAAGCTGCAGCTCAAGACGGCAGCCATTTTCCACTAAAATGTATAAAATCAAACACATTCCCACAAGACAATAACACAACAAATTTATGAGAGTATATAGATAAATATTAAATATTTTTTTATTTGTTTGGTCATTGATATACCTAACTAAAAGGTAAAAACCCTTGATTAAGTTCACACTTAGTAATTGCTACGAAAATAGTAAAAATAAATTAAACAATTTATTCACACTTGGTAAATAATTAGGTATTTAGTTATATAAATTATATGTTACCAAAAAATCGTTTGAAATTTTTTCACAGACGTAATAGACAATTCCAATGTACCTAACTGTCTATTTGATTTAATAGGAATCAGTTCGTGAAAAAAAGCCCAAATCTGTGATAGTCTTTCGTCTTAGAAAATTACAAAATGGATTTTAATTAATACATTTAAGCATTAGGTACTTGTATTTGATATTTTGTGTACCTAAGAACTTCAAAGACAAGTATATATTTTTTAAATTCTTATAGCGTAGTATATTTTTTATGCGTTTTATAGTTAACCTATAGTGTAGACTCGAGACTCCCCTTCCTTTTTAGTTCCGGTTCGATGTAAAATATAATCGAAATTCATACTACTTTTAAATTTCCCTTACCATTGTTCTAACAACGAACCTGTCGACAATATGATAAGTCTTACCGATGACAATCGGACGATCCACCATTGTTTATTTAATATATAATAAAGTTTTAAATTTTTTTAAGGTACTTATAAGTTATAACTGTATTAGCATATTATCTCTTATTATGATATAAATGATTGTTATTATTTTTGTAGCTATAGTGTATACCATATACGTACAGTGCACACGTACACTCCTGGATGCAAGTTCGTTTTTCTTTAATAAAAAAAAAAAAAAAATTAATAATGAATTTAGTTTTACAGAATATTTATTATTTACCAAATATAAATAATTTATTGTTTCTCGTTCGAAGGTTTAATGTTAAGACTATTACATGGTACTAGAGGGTGTTCTTTAAAAGTACGGCATTTTCTATTTTCTTCTGGAACATCTTGTTTCTCTGTAATTTCGTAAACTGTACAGTCTGTATTATTTTTATCACGACTGTCTTTAACTATTCGTTCAATATTATATAACTTACTAGAATTTAAATGGCAATTTGTTGGTGGATTTTTGCATGGATTATCCGATGCAACGACATTTTGGCTCCGTCTTATCCATTCTGGAATTGGCTGAGACGCAAGAAATTCGCAAATTTGGTTTTTTTCACAAACTGATTTCTTTGAAGTTGATTGGTTTAATTTAATATCGTTTTCAACACAGGCTTTGGGAAAATGATGGATGGATTGTTTGGGACATAGTTGGGACATAACTTGGTTCATTTTTTGTTCTTCATTTTGCTTTTGCAAACAATTATTTTTTAGTTGATTCGATTTTTTTGAACACACTGTTGTATTGCTCATTTTATTGTCGATGATTTGATTTCCAACACAATTATTTGAAATATGGTTTGATTTAGTTGAACAAACTGATACGTTGCAAGCGGTTTTGTCGTCGATTTTATTTCCAACACAATTATTTGAAATATGTTTTGATTTGGTTGAACAAACTGATACATTGCAAGCTGTATTGTCGTCGATTTGATTTCCAGCACAATTATTTGAAATATGTTTTGATTTGGTTGAACAAACTGATACATTGCAAGCTGTATTGTCGTCGATTTGATTTCCAACACAATTATTTGAAATATTGTTTAATTTTTTTGAACATACTGATAAATGGCTAACTTTTTTGTTGTCAACTTTATTCGAAAACTGATTTTCACGCACTTTATTCTGTTGATCATTCCGTTTAAACATTTCCATAGTTAGCTTTGCTTTTAAAAACTCACATAAAATGATATCACCGTACTTTAGTTGATTGTGACCATCCTTTGAATTTATAATCTGTATATTAGCAGCATTAGCATTATTTACTAATTGGCAAACACACTTATCTGAGGTACACTTGTTTTTAGTATTTTTGTTCGTGTTAGGAGTATCGGTAAACTGTTGAGATCGTTGTCCATCAATTGCACTTGGTTGTATTAGGTAATCAATACACATTTTAATATCGTCTATACTTTTTTGCAAGTCTTGTTTATTTTCTGTTTTTATACTTGATTGTTTTTTCATAATTTCACATTCGTTTTTTTTACTTAACTGTTGCACATTCGACATTAATTTATCAATGTTCATTTCGTTTGTGGTCATTTTGTTATCCAGTCCTGATAGATGAACCATAATTTCGCATTTTTCATTTATTTTATCAATTTTAAATTGCGACAATGCTGATTGTATTTTTGTAAAAAAGCATTCCAATCGCCCATCCAAATAATTTGTCAACTGGTCAATTGACTTGTTCTCAGCTAAATTTTCGGGATTTGTCACTTGATCATCTTCTTTAATTGTTTTGGTAAGGTTTGTTTCAGGTTGTACAGGTTTTTCGGGCTTTATTTTTTTTTTTTTTGTTACACTTAGTTTGTTTTTAGTCGTTTTTTTATTTTTTTTGGAAACTTTTCTGGGTGTAATATCTTTTTTTGTCGAAGTTGTTGTATTCTCCATAATGTTCAATTTATTTAAAGAGTTTGGACTATTTATATTAGGATTGTTTAAAATAAGGTTTTGGTCAGTTTCTATTTTGGCATTGAGCTGTTTCATATTAATTAAGCCAGATAGACAAGATACCTACATAATTCAAAAATCATTAAAACATTTTATTAACAAATCGATTTATATTTACTTTTTTGCTAAGTGTTTGTAGATTTTTTTCGATAACTGGTATAATCCTTAGGACAGCTTCTATTTTGCAATTATTTATTTCTTCATTTTTTTTTGAATTTGTAGTTTCAGTTGAACAATTTAAATGTTGTTTATTTTGTATTGCTTGTATATTTTCGTGTACTTTTTTTACTTGTTCGACTCGTTCTTGTAAATCATTCTTAATTATTAGTTCCTCTTCGTTTTTTGATAAGATTTTTACTGATTCTTCGACAACCTTTACCTCGTTAACCTTTTCCTCGGTAACATTATCCTTGTTAACCTTATCCTCGTTAACTTTATCTTCGTCAGCCTTATCTTCGTTAGTACAGTTCTGAGTTGTGGCCTCGCATCCATTGTCTTTAGGTTTACTAAAAAAGCTATTTAGCCACATTTAAATAATTTTTTATGTGTTAAAACAGTTAATATATTCTACACGGTTTAAATGTTTGAATATATTTTGAAGTTATAATGTATGTGTTATAATGTTAATTTACATATATTAAGTAATTTTATAAATATTTACTTTATTGGTATTTACTTTGGATACTGATTAGTTATACTTAATTATAATTAGGCCAATCAATATTTTGTTTTTAAAACAATATTTTTAATATAATTACAAACCAATCTGCTGTACATTTTTTAGTAGGTAGGCCCCATTAAGCGATTAAGAAATAAAAAGAATATACAAACTCAATGGTATGTTATTGAATATTAATGTATACACCAGTAACTACGTACCTATACAATATAATATGATGTACGTTTACTGATTTATTTATTTTTTCGTACCTCTGTACCTCTGTACATATTAATTTAATTATTTCATTTAATATCATAGTAAATATATCATACTCTTCGACTAAAGAAAAATAGTTCTTATAGACATAATTTATATTTATTTAATAATCTAATTTTTCATAAAAAATTATTCAGAATATTTTGTTAGCTAAGACTAGCGTACTTTCGTTAAAATTTTAATTTTCTATAATAAGTAACTAATTTTGAAATTACCTCAGGTCAAACGTAACATAACAAATAAATTATGTGCCCCCGAAATAGGTAAAACATCATGTATGTACCTATAACCAGCTACCTGTGCGACAGTATAGTAGTTTAACCAATTACCCGGTCACGTTTTTAGAGTGTGTTGTATACCTAATAGTGGTGCATCACAAAATAAGATTACAATTGAATAGATTTATTTACTTAATACAATAAGAAAAAAAATCACTAACAATAAATGTTCATAGGTAACATTGTTACCATTGATATATTATTCTTATTTCAAAATCAACAGTTGACATACGATGTAGATAGAATTTGTATTAATAAATTACTTGTAGACAATTCACAGACGAATTAAAATAATAATATATTAAACAAGGTTATTGCACAAAACCGTTATATCTGAATTCTTCATGGTTGTTAATGAACTCTAAAAATAGTATTATAATATTATAACAAGTCCTGTTTATAAAATAGATTTTATGATTTTGAAAAAAAAAAAAAAGGTTGATTATTAAGGTTGTCACAAATTGTGTGTGATGTGTACCTACCTATATATTAAATGTTTAACCACATATTTTGAAACAGGCCGTTCGTTCTTTAAAACAGCTGTTAGTTATTAAATATAAATATTGCTCTTATAGAAACGATATATTGAATTTTAGTTTTTGTAATCGCTAAGGAAAGAGCTTAACAAATACAACGCAATATTAAGAATATTATTTATAACTAAAGTATATTAATGTAAATAAGTATATTTTACAAATGTTTGTACGAGTGATAAACTAATATGTTTGAAAATACAGGTTGTAATGCTAAAAATCGTTTCATTGCCACCGGTAAGATCGAAGTTCCTCTTTATTTGACGGAAATCTTGTCAGAATGGACAAAAGCTGCAATACGTACTCAACCTTCAGATTTACTTTTATGGTCTCAAATTTACTTTTCTTTAAAATCTATTGGTAAACAGCCACCCGTAAAAGAATATTTGGATCCCCCCGATCTAAAACTAGGACCCGGTGGCTTGACTCCAAACACGTTGAAGGCACTGGCTAAGACTTTATCTGATGAATATGAGACTTATGATAGAATAGAAGCAATGTGGAATATTTTGTCACTTAAGAAAAAAATATTTATGGAAATAATTAAATTTGGTAATTTTAAAAATGATATAAAATCAAACGAATTTATAGGAATTGCTGCATCTTACCTAAACAATAGCCTGAAAGGTACAATGATATTGTTGTGCGATACGTTGTCAACAGATGACTCAAGTGGTGTCTTATTGGAAATCTTTGTGGAAATTTATCAATATTTGGCAAGACTTGATTGTGCAGACGTAGTATATCGTCAAATGAAATTCACTAGTTGAACTTGAAATAGAAAATTACGAAGAAAACAGTGTTCATATTGATAGCCAATGCTTTAATTCTACATCTTCTCAAATTTGCAATTTGGAAACCGAATTGTCTGGCCACGGTGAATTTGAGGAACCGGCAACCAATTTATTGGATATCGGCAAATCGGCAGAAGGCATTATGATTTGGAAAGACGTAAATATGGATCATGGACCCGAATCGTTAACAGATATTCTACGTACACCAATGATCAATAAACCAATGATTACTACAGTTTGTGATGATAAGCATTATGAATTGTTAATAAGAAATTAAAAGATAATCCATATGATCAGAAAATCTTGTCACAACTTAGTGCTGAAAGTGTGATATGCGATGACCCACAATCAGAAATTTCATTGACTCCGTGTCAGATATACACAAAAGCGAACATCGAGCTTTGGTGAACTTGTTAATGAAGAAATTATTGATGACCATCTGTCTTTAGTATTAACAGAAACAAATTACGAGAAAAATGAATTTGGAATTCAAACTGAAGACATTTATAATGACTATACTGAAATAAATGCTGAAGTATTGGATGAAATGAGTATGGTAAAATATGAAGACAATATAAATGAGATAGATTCCGAGATGAATGAAGAAACCAAATATAATATTAATAGTTTAACAAACATTGAAGTAAACAAAGATTTTATTGTTATGATGGCTTTAGTTGGTGATGCAAATGAACCATTGTCAAATATTGAAGCCACGGATTGATCTTTAGGAGATAATGAGTCAGTAAATCTGAATTTGTCAAATACTTAGATAAAACCGATTTGAATCTTAATACTGCTAATGAGGATAATAATAACATATAAAAGTCATTAAACAGATCTTTGATGAAACTACTTACATGACCAATGATAAAGAAAGTTCGGCTAGTGAAGTTAGTAGCGGTTCGGACGGATTTCGCCACTCGGATATTGATCAACAAAGTAATCGCTCGGTGGCGTTAGAAAAAAGTTCAATTCATTCGGAATCCAATAACAGTGCCATTTACTCATCCAAAGATGATTTAGTGTCTTTACCAGCTGACAACAATAAATTCGACGAAGATCAATTGACATTAAACGAATTATCGGAATCTGCACAGTATGAGTTTACAGACATGCCGGAAGATCGGCCTTACGATAAAAATATAGAAACAGTAGAGGAATGTGAAGCGTATTCACATAAGTCAGAAAAATCAATAGAAATACCAATAGTGGATAAAAATGTCGACTCAAAAATAAATTATCCTGAAAAACGTATTCGTGTCATGTTTGGAATCGGACCAGCACTTCCCGAGAAACAAATAAAATACGTCATTAAATGGGTTACAGAATGCGCTAGTAAACAAAATAATCATGTACAAGCACATAATTTAATACATTTTCAATGCCCTCCGATGGACTATGAGCCCGAGAGTTCTTACAAGAAGTCCGATCAAAATGCATGTTTTTAAAAAAAAATTGTACTGTAATAAAAAAAAAAAAAATACTACATTCTAATAGAAAATAACAGTTATAAATTTGAATTATGAATACCTGGATACATTGTGTAAATCTATCTCTGGCTTAGCGATAATGTTATACTTTGAAAAATAAGCAGTAGAATTATATACTTTTAAATGTTAATATAATAAATAATAATATGATCTATATATGTAGCCTAAATTGTAAATGTAATTGAGTTTCTGATACTTTTTAAGTCTAGTTTGTAGTACAGCATGAAATTCATTATTTCATTATACTTCTGTAGTTCCGTGATTCTTTATTATTATTCATATTATTACACTAAAAACAAAGTAAACGGATATTAATTCAGAGATTGGCTTATAACTTATAATTCAATAACAGCAAGTAAAATCACTATATGAATTAATATAAATATAAATATAATATAATATTCACGCATTGTTTTTTGCGAAAATTATTTTAAACTATACCAATAAAATATTCTTGGAAATTTAGGCTAACAGGTCTCCGTTCAAAATAGTTTTGATTTATCATTGAATTCAAATTGAACACATCCACAGTGCGACATACTTGGTGGTGAGGAGCCCTCTATACTATCATACATCAAAGTGACTACTACAGTTTGTTTTGTAATAATAAATCAGTTTTTGACTTAATTTTTATAAAATTTTTATCTATGGATCGGTATAGAGCACAGGTATTTTTGCATCCCTTCCCTCTCTCTCATAACAAACACACAGACGCATATACAAACCAACACAAATTAAAAAAAATATAAAAAACATACGTATTATTATGACAATAAATGAATAAAATATTATATTATATTATTTAAATAGTTTACACTAACGGTGTTTTTTACCTATTTGATTTCGATACATACCTATAGTACCGTGTGGCCGCCGCACGGTGGTCTGAAAAGTAAATTTAGCTTACCTACATAAAACCCAATTAAGAGAGTATGATAAAATGTTATCTAAATTACATAAATATTTATCTTATATACCGCCTATATGTACCCATTAGTTAATTGATTTGATAAAATTAAATTGATGTCGATAAATGTATACAATTTGTACAATATTGTCTATCACCGTGAGTATTTTTTTCATTTTGCTTGTTATTAAGCTTGTTCATTAAGCTGTTATTGCAAGCACATTTTAATTTTTTTAAATTATCCTTTTTGCATTTTTATGCATTTTTATGAATGTATGTATTAAAACACATTTATATACACATCTATTAATTAAATTAAAATATTCAAATTTATAAAATTGTGTTTTTAATGATATAATATAAACTTTGTTAGTAAATAATTGAATAACTATACAATTACAAAAAATTACATCTCAATATAAATTTATATTATTTATAATGCATACAAGCTACATAATTTTTCTTAATAAATTTTCCCCGCCTATATCTGCCTATGTGCTCATTATAATAATATAATCCCGTTTTCAGCAGGCTGTAGCAGTGGTAAAAAGCTAAAAAAATTTATAAAATATTAATCATTTAAGTTTAATATTTCTTGTTAACATTTTATTACTCAACATTTTAATATTGTATATAATTATTTAAATAATATTCTATAGAATAAAAGTAGAATGACGAAGCTAGGTAAATTTTTATAATAAATAATGTTACGATTTAATAAGTTATTTAATATTGTTTATTTGTATTAAATAAATAAATCTAAGTCCTTAAGTGTATCAAAATTGCTATGAACGTGTAGGTACCTAACTAGTTAAACGTGATAATTTATCTATTTAACAGTTAATACACAAAAGTAAAAACATATGGTAATTTATTACGAACAGAAACTACAATTTAATTTTATGTAAGCTAAATTTACTTTACTGACCACTGGTTATTATTTTATTTAATATAAAATATTACGAATTTATTTTGCTCCGTTTTAAACAAAATAATATTATAATAGGCCGGTGAGCGCGCGGTGGATGCTAAAACGCAGCCGCCGCGCGCCGTCGTCGTATCGATCGACGGCCGGCTCGACTTCGCTGGGCCGGCGCCGCCGCCGCTGCTATCAGCTTATCACCCGACCAGAGTAATATTATTTATCAAAACAACAGTTTTGTATAACACACAATATTACTCTTTATTATAATATTATTAATCAACATCGTGAATAATATATTCGCAGCTAACAAGCCTCGCAGTGCCACGGTTTGAGAGTGATCATCAGAGAGAGAGATGCATCTGAATTTGCGGCCGACGACGTAAGCGTAACGAACACTCCGTAATCATAATAACGTACCACGACAATAATAATATATATAATATATTATTACGATGGACTTCATTAGTAGTGACAAATCACCGAACCGACACAACGATCATGACGTGGACGTATCACAACTAATAATTGTACGTATAACATTTAATTACTTATATTATTATAATAATTATTAACTACCTATAACTATATAATACTTTTGTGTCCCGATCATTAAACAAATCACCTATCGTTTTAGTAATAAATCGTCCAACGCATATCTAAAAAGTTGTATAATAGGTAGTTTAGGCGCGTTTTGTTGAACTCGATTATAATAATATCAAACAATATGACTATAATAGTAGAATAAAAGCACTGTCATATAAGCACTTGGCATATATTATTGTAATTAACTAGTGCTCGGGATGAAACATTTTTTGAACCGGAACGCTGTAAATCTAATTTTTCGTTTGTTATAAATATTAATACAGCACAGTGTTATCGATCGTATACAAAGTCAACGAGACATATGCACTGTCGCACTGTTATTAATTGAAACAACTTCTCTGCTCTTATAATAACGAGTATTTGTACAGCTAGACAGCTTGCAGATAAAATTTATAGTACAACCACCATTGATTATAAATTACTAAAGTACTATAGTATGTATAATCAATGGTACAACGTACCTATAGGCTATAACTAATATAACCAACAGTTACCACGGCAAGTGAATAGCGGCTAAATCGGGTATAAATTATATTTTTTTACCTATCAAGTGTGATTTGCTGTGTTTTTAAACGTATTGCATTTCCAAAGAAATTTTATTTTTAACACAAACAGTTAAAAAATTACATCGTTTTCATCAAATTAAAAATTTGATTTTTTTTTTTTGAATATTTCATACTAAATACTACTAAATTCTTAATATATTTGTAGACTTACTAACAATAAAAATAGGCTAAATTTGACTTATTTTTATCCGAAACGCTATAAATCTATAATTCAACATGTTTTGAACAGTTAAACCGAACACCGTTTTAGGCACCCGCGCAAGGACCCGATATCGTACTTATCGCAATTTGTAGTTTTATTTTATAATTGTTGTGCCTTGTGAGTTTCAATAAAATATTTCTCATATAGAATGTGGGAACGACGTAATATTCGGCAAGTATGATATCACACACGGGCAATGGGTGAGTGTTTGACCACGTAAATAATGATGATTTTTCAAATTTATATTTCTTAAAACATGGTTTTAGAAAACTATTGATATGTTTAGAGAGCTATATGTACAATAATAATAATATAAAGTCGTTCGAATTTGGTTGACAGTTTTAATACTATAGGCATAAAAAACGAAAAACATTTTCGTTTTCTCGTTTTCTACAATGTAAATATTTTAAAAGTAGAACAATTAATTTCCAATATTAATTCCATTGTGATTAAATTGAATATTAACGATATTATGGTCGTCGTTGATTTTTAATAGTACTCGGAGTAGCCGGAGTAGCCTACCTACTTACCTTACTTGAGAGTTGAATGTATAATACCTGCCATTATAATACCATTTATTATGGTTTATAAAATAGTGATTATTATATTTTATTTAGTATGTTGTAAATTAAAGGTTCCACGAGCGAAATATAAAAGGAACTTTGTGGGAGAGTTGATTTAAGATCACCTACAAAAATGATTTTTAAATATTTCATTCAAATTATTAAATACATTATTGAAATGCAAAAAGTACCGAAATAGTTTCAATAAATATACCCTTTAGATTTCAATTAAAGGTAATATAGAAATTCAATGTCATAATGTATTACAAGTCTTCAATAATTTCGATCGTTTGAAATGTACCTAACTTTGTTTATTATAATTATTTTTTAAATCAAATATAAATGGCTCCTTTTCAAATCGACAGTGCTCTCATCATATTATTTTGAATAATTAAATACAATTTCATTCGTCTCCACATTAGGGTTTTCCGAAGAAGTTAGTACCCATACCTGTAAGTAAGTAGCTACACACTTTGCCTATATGTACTGTAATAAGTTACCGCTGAAGAGCATATTATATATTATAAGCTTACCCGTATTTATATTATTCGTATATATAGGTAGTCGATGGTAACAACAAGTATATTTGTTGGTAGGGCCAGGTTTTTTATTTGCTACAAATATTGTAAAGTTTCAAAAACATTCAAAGAATATATTCTTTATACCTATAGGTACATATCAAACGTATTTAAATATATATATGCATGTAGCAAATAACAATTTTGGGAAAATTATATCACGTTTTTAAACGTAATTAAACTATAAGTACAAGCAATCAGCTGGCACTGTTGATTTTTTTTTATTGATTTACGATGAAAGTTTGTAATGTTACATAAATAGAAAATTATGAATTTTGTATTTAACAGTTCGATCGTCTTAGGTTCAAAATCAGAATGTTGCATTCAACTATTTTAAAACTTTAAGCAATAATTATTACGTATAACTTGTGTTCACTCAGATATGAAAAAAAAACTAACCGTTGTATTATGAAACGTCGATATATTTATTTAAAATTATTCAAAGTCAAGTGTACCAGAAATATTAAGGTTTACATAAAAATCCGGTCCATAGACCATAGTGTTATACTGCTATCATAATATCGTCGCCTCTATCTATATAAAGTTAGGTCTATACCTACAATGCCTCGTTTAAATCCGTCTACACATAATAATGTTGTAGGCAAGTCCTGTCG